TAGAGGCATCACTGATGCTGCAGTAGAGGCATCACTGATGCTGCAGTAGAGGCATCACCGATGCTGCAGTAGAGGCATCACTGATGCAGTGTCAGTTCATTAATTCAGTGGTACAAGGTCGGCATCACTTATTCTACCTACGCTGACACTTGCCCCACAATTTCTACAAGGAACGCGTGGGAAGTTTGCTTCGCCTTGACCAATGCACGAGATGGACCACTGAACATTTTTCGTGATGAATAATGCAGATATTGAAAGACGGAAGCGAGAATCGACACAATTTATGATAAACAATAAAAATATTTGCATTATTCCGTGTGGTTAATGATTTAATAATGTTGTCCAGAGGAACTTAAATATATATAGTGTCTAAATGGAGCAATGATTGAGCTTAAGGTTCACTGTTAGAAAAAACGGTGAAAAAACGGTCCCACTGGCGTTCTAGTGGCCGGTCGCCCCGTGAAAATAAACTATTTCGCCGTTTTTATCAGAGGTTTTAGGGATTTTTAGTGTTAAATTAGAATAAAAACGGCAACACGGTGTTTTATTTCACGTGCTGACCGGCCACTAAAACGCCGGTAATACCGTTAACGGTAATTTTTCTAACAGTGTTGCTGATGTCGTTAGAGTTCTCCCAGAGCTGCAAACAAGCCGGTTAATTGAGAAGCAGTCCTCCAGCATCAAATAATATTGGCCGTTTAATATTAATATTATTTACCTTATTCGTATGCATGAGAAATGTTACAAATCAAATATCAGTAACAATATTTCCGCATTTAAGTGACGCGCATACATTGATTTTATTAACGCAGTTCATCTCCAGAATCAAGTGCCAGAAGTTTTAATGCATACACCAAAATAAAATCATATTTTTCTCTTCACTAGCTATTACATGAGTTTTTTCAGAGCTTCAAAAATGCTATCTTGTACATCACAATTACATGTTTGGATATATTTCCTCTGCACGGCAAATTTTTTTTTCCTGCACGCCGTGGCAGCGACTTGCATCATTTCGATCAAACGAGCGCATCTTCCTTTAAAGCGTTTGCATCTGCAAGGGAAATCCCGCAATGAAACGGCCAAGGTAATCAAGTCGAATGAAGTTCGCAATTTCTCCAATATATGAAAAAATATAACTCAGTACTCGCTGCAGTGAGTGACAGAGAGCGCATTTTCTCGTAGACGAAAACTTGAGGTCACGGACGGACGGACAGACAGACAGACGGACATGGCGAGCACAATAGTGCATTTTTTTCCATAAATGAGAAAATGCGCTAAAAACGGTCGGAAATAATGGCTTGACTGTTGAAAAGGAGCGACGTTCTTGGACAGAGAAAATGGAGTTCATTGATAATAAGACACGCGGCATGCACATATAGTGGCATTTAAATAGATATCGTGTAAATCACGTGAATCAGGAAAAAGTAACAGAAATATATTACCGATAGAAATATCTGTAGAATATTCAAAGTATGACGTTATTTGACGCTTGACAAGCGTACAAAGCAAATATTTATCCCATACAAAAGAGCATATTTATCTCTCGCCCTGGACAAACACTGACAAAAACTATGGCAAAAGTTAGTGCAATATTGTCTATTCACTTAAAGAGTTGCCTTGTTGACAACTTCATGTTGACGCGACACACTTCCATAGACTTCATCTACTATATAGGCACACGAAGCTCTCAAAATTCTTTTTATCAAGCATTACATGATACAGCCCAATTGTAACTTCACACGCTATGTACCTTGGGTGCATACTTTCAAATCTCGCTAAGTGAACGTAAGTACTTCTGATGATCTTACGATCTCTTAACTTTTTAGCGCATTTTCTCATTTATGGAAAATATGCACTATTGTGCTCGCCATGTCCGTCTGTCTGCCTGTCTGTCCGTCCGTCTGTCCGTCCGTCTGTCCGTGACCTCAAGTTTTCGTCAACGAGAAAATGCTCTCTCTGTCACTCACTGCAGTGAGTACTGAGTTATATTTTTTTGAAGGTATGGGCCCTTGTCTCTTGGAAACCGATTTTTGAAATTTAACACAAGCACTCAGTTATCCCCACGCTCGCATGATAGGACGCCGCTAGAAAATAATTTCTCTTTTACCGATCAAGTTACCATTAAGCAATAAGTACACAATACCTTCAACTATACCTTTTGCGGATCGCTGTTCAATTTATTGAGCTTACAAGCATTCGTACTTTTGATGGTGCGCCCATTTTTCTAAATCATTTGTGACCGCAAAAAGAATGACATCGTTTGCGATGTACTTGAACTCACAAGTCAACATAACAAAGCTGACATTCAGCCTTCAATATCGCACCTTTCAATGCCAAATAATGTGTCTTGAGGCATTCATTTTAAGTCTTGTCTTCATTGAAGCTTTTCTCAATAGACCGTACGCGCGTGGGAGGAATTTTGTGAATTATATAGGTCGAGTGATTGGTGGTTGCCTTCTACAATGTTGATCATTTTGATTGTTCGAGCCCCAATAAATATGTTTGAGTGATAGACGGACTGCGGCTGCAGAACACTCCTCGTGAATAGACACTTTGTTTTAATGACAAATTCAATTTAAGAGAAATATTTTCGTGTACATGTACATTGTGATAGTACGCATAGTTTAATTTAACCATACTCCACTCAGTCCTTCTTGTCTTACCTGTATTAAGATATCTTACTAACTGCAGAAAATGACAACAGCTCGATTTTGGGGGTAAATGGAACCAAAGGAACTATATTACTTGAATTCTGCTTCAGTTATATAGCATATTTAGTGTTAGCTTGGTTTACTGGTCATATCAATACTGTTAGGGTTTGGTGATGAGAAAGAAATATAACTATCGTATAACGTGTGCATAGCTTGCAATTTTCTCACGGAACCATAAGTTGGTGTAAATTTTTGAAGGAAAACGAAAAATCTGGCAGCTAATAACCTGACCATTGCTCTAGAGTTGATATTAAGATCGACCATTTGAATGAATCTACGTATGCATACAATATAATAATTGTAATAAATATTTCGGAGGAGCTAACAAGAATTTAGTTTAAACAGAAATTTAATCCATGATGTAGAAGTCTCCTCACAACGATTGATGTTCTGATGAGGGATTTACCATGAAGAACTGAATGGAATTTCTCAGTGCCCCCCACAAATTTAAGGTATCAGATGGCCCAGTTAGTAATTTCGTGGAAGGCCACGACTTACAAAAAGATGGACGCGAGATGCCCACGAAGATAAAGAAGATGTCTAACTCGCCAGACATGACGGGGCAAGTCTGCTAGAGGAAGGCACCGATATACTTTTCACCTTCACCCACTTATGGGCAGCCGTTACGGGCGTTAGAGAAACGAGGCTATGTTTTGTAACCTCTTACTGACACTTGAACCTCCACGACCTCTTAGTTTGGTGGGTGAGGCAGGCGAAACTTGAATAGAACAAGTGAAATTATTCACGGCGTCACGCCGGCACAAAATGAAACTTAACATATCCAAGTAAATTAGTGTTATCTCTGAGTAATTTTATAATCACAATTAAGGTGCAGAGTGAGTTGAAGAGCACTCATTGGGAAGGAAGTTCTCTTACTTCTGTTATAATTTGTATTCAGTGCAACTTAAACTTTTTCAAGAATCTTCTGCTTCTCATAAAATGACAATATCCGGGCAGCTTCGACATCAAAATCCCAAAATCAATTCGCAATCGAAATACAAAAACAAAATAAAAGTCCTATTAATAACTTTAGCAAAGCTGTTCACTACTGTAAGATTGCTATTCTCGAACTGCCATGAGTGTACGTATTTAATACGTATTTTTACGGCGTGCGTGTACGAGTGTACACGTACGCTGTGAATGCAGCGCAGGCGTGTGAATTTTTCCCGAGGGCCAACAATTGATTTCTCGAGCACGTCCGTAAGGCCGTACGTGGCAGCACGTTCCACCAGCTGAATCATTCGTGCTTCGATGGCAGCGACCACGCCTGCAGTGATAATAGTAATGCTGCACATAGAAGCAGCGCCTTCACCACAGTCCATGTAGTGAAAGTTCCTGTCGAAGAATGACGGACCTGCGGCGCGGTTCTGTCGAAGATTGACGGACCTGCGGCGCGGTTCTGGCGAAGAATGACGGACCTGCGGCACGGTTCTGGCGAAGAATGACGGACCTGCGGCGCGGTTCTGTCGAAAATTGATGGACCTGCGGCGTGGTTCTGGCGAAGATTGACGGACCTGCGGCGCGGTTCTGTCTTCTGTCGAAGATTGACGGACCTGCGGCGCGGTTCTGTCGAAGATTGACGGACCTGCGGCGCGGTTCTGTCGAAGATTGACGGATCGAAGATTGACGGACCTGCGGCGCGGTTCTGGCGAAGATTGACGGACTTTTTGTCTTTCGATATATAATTCATTCTGATTATTATATTATATACATTTCTGATTATATATTTCTTTCGATATATAATTTCCATTGGAAATTATATATCTGCGGGTTATATAATTACTCAACACAAATTCATCGATATTTTAGATTTGTTGACACTTACAGTAATTTCGCAACAGGACCTAAAATGTTTTATGAAATCCTTCAATAATTTTAAGCGTATCTATAATCAGTAGGAGCGCAATCTAAAGTACTCCAGAGTCCCTCTCTGCATAATAGCTTACTAGTTTGGAAACGACTACAGTTCACGCTCGCTCATTAATCTTTTCTGATATCGTTTGTTCAGCCTCCCTAAATTCAAACCAAAATTACTTCTTCATCAATTACCCGAACTCATAATTATCGGATTTTAATTTTTAATTTTTTTCGATCTATTTAAATTAGGCATTTTTATTTATTTTCAATAATTATTTCTAGTTGCATATTTATTTATTTCCAGTGATTTATTTTTATCTAGTTACTTTCGATCTATTCAAATTAAGCATTTTTATTTTATTTATTTATATCTAGTTTATTATTTATTATTATTATTCTATTTATTTATTTCTAGTTATTTATTTATTTATATTTTTCCCCAGACACGTGGCGCTGGCGGTGGCCGTGCTATGCGCGCTGGCTCGCACCAGCCTGCAAGAGGCCGCGGCCGACCCCAAACCAGAAGCTGACGCCTCACCCAAAGCCGAGGCGTCAGCGGACGCCTTCCAGTTCTCTGGAGGCCCTCCCCACTTCGGGTTCCATGACGTGCCTCATGGAGGGTTTGGTGGCAGCCTTCACGACCCACGTTCTCTGGCAGCGTCGCACCACGTGAGCGGCAGCGAGCACAGCCACTGCGCGTTGCTCATTCCAGGACACGGCAAAAGTTCGCACTTTGATCACGCATTCGGCGGCTTCAACGCCATTCAGTGAGTCAGAATTCAGTGAATCTTTGCTGTGCAAAACTTCTTTGTTAATTTTCGGCTTCGAGAAATTAGTTTCTTAAAAGAAGGATTTAATATATTTGATATTTCATTCATTTATAAAAACAATGTCAAGTTTTATGTAATTTTAATGTTATCATCAAATCTTAAAAATTATTGAACAATTTTACCCTAACTCTGAGAGCCCGGATAAATATGATGTATCATGGAAGAGTGATTGAGTATATTAACCCCGCGGACAAGGTTATAAAAGCGTTCACAGGTGGCTATTCGTCATGCGGATACTGACCTGCTTCACGTTATAGGCTTCGATTGTTCCTTCGCGCCGCTTTCCTTTGATTGAAAAAGCTGAAGGCCGTCGAGCTCGCTAAGTGCCACTATGATTTCTCACACCTCGGGAGGCTGGCGCGCTGACCTAAATTTTATGAGAGTGAGAAATTTCTTCTCAATTGGCTTAGATATAATTAATAGTGAAGAACTTGGCTATGATAACAATGATCCTAGACAACAACAGACTTCGAGTCGTACAACTCATTCGAGAAATAGTTTGGGAAATAGTTGAGCCCAATGAAATCAAGCCCTTACAAAAGTTCCATTAGCGCATGAACATCAAAACTGCACATGCAGTAATGAGAGAAAAAAAACAAACGGGAGCAAGCTTGAGAAATTTTGACGTGATGATCGCTACCTCTTGTGTCACGCCACAGACAGGGAACAAACATTAAGCAATCAAAGGCAATATTGTGATCTGCTGGCTCTAGTCTGCTGGCTCTAGTCTGCTGGCTCTAGTCTGCTTGCTCAAGTCTGCTTGCCCTAGTAGCTTGCTCTAGTCTACTGGCTCTATATAGTCTGCGTGCTCTAGTCGCTTGCTCTAGTCTACTGGCTCTATATAGTCTGCTTGCTCTAGTGTGCTGACTCTGGCCTGTTTGCTCTAGTCTGCTTGCTCTTGTCACTTGCTATAGTCTGATGGCTCGACCTTATGACTTTATGATGTGTTTGGGGGCTTCCTGCATGTTCACGCTGATGGGCCGCCTTCGTCTTCCTCCGTCTCCGAGTCGTCGCTAGGCAGGTCACCCCGCCCTCGGGTCCCGGATGTAACGTTGGACGTATTCCGTCTATTTGCCCTCCTTTGGGCCAGCTGATGCAAGATGCTGTTGCTTGTCACTTGCTGAGGGTTGTTTCCCATAACTGGACAATCCGGGATCTTCTTCAGAAACTTATCCAATCGTCTCTTGAAAGTCGCTAGGATAAACTCCGCTCCTCTCAGCACTTTTCTTAAGACGTTAGACAGCCTCGGTTCTACTACGGACAGTAATTTCTCACGAAAAGTCTGTACTCTGGCGTCGGCACGGTTATTGTATGGCATAATCCTGCACTCTCCTTCTCCTTTCGTTGTAATACGTCACAATTTTAGAGGTCTCACATTCAAAGTTGGGAGCCAGTCCGTTTATCATCTTCCAAGTGTACAGTATGATATACCTTCCTCTTCTGCTCTCCAGTGAGTACAGTCCCAGGTGTTTCAGCCTTCCTCAGTAGTTCAGGTTCAGCTCCCTCATGCCGCTGATCCTGTACGTGAAGGTCCGCCGCACTGCCTCCAGTTTCCGCACCACACCCGCCTTGAGCGGCACCCAAAGCTGACAGCAGTATTCAAGATTGGGGAGCACCAGGGCTCGTAAGAGTGTTATCGTTGGTGCTGCTTCTCTTGTACGAATATCCGCCAGATCCACCTCATCCATTATTATGCTGTTCAGTCTCTTCCATATACCAGGCAAGCCTCGCAGCCACTACCTTCTCAAAAACCTTGATCACCTGTCAGGTCAATGTCACCGGTCGGTAATTTTAGGTCTGTCCCTCGAGCGTTGTCCCTTCGTGGATTGGCGTTATCAGTCCCACTTTTAGGCCTTCAGGAATAATTCCCTCCAACATCGAGGCTTTCCAGATCATTGTCAGCGGAGTCTGCAGAGCTTCAAAACACTTCTTCAACAACACTGCTGAAATTACATCCTGTACTAATTCTGAAGACGCCGCTAGTCCATTTATACTAATTGCCATGTCTTCTGGTCCAAACTCGACGTTCTTCAACCCCCTTCCTCCTGGCAGTGCCTGGGCAACTACGATTTTATTCTCCTCCCTTGAGTAGCGGGGGTTACTGAAGACTGATTCAAACTGTGATCCCAGTAACTCACACATACCCTTGTCATCTCCTACAAGGACATCGTTATCATTCAGCGGGCCCACTGGCGTCTTCATTTTAGCCATGGACTGGGCGCATTTGAAAAAATACTTCGAGTTCTCTCTGATGACCTCAACTTCTAGTTCCTCGGCGGATTGTTCTTTCATCCTGTGCGAGTCCTGCAGCCTGCAAGCAGACTAGAGCAAGCGAGTCTGCATGCTCTAGTCTGCTTGCTCTAGTCTTCTGGCTCTAGTCTGCTTGCTCTAGTCGCCCTGCTCTATTCTGCTTGATCTAGTGTGCTGGCTCTAGTCCGCTTAATCTAGTCGTTTGTTCTAGTCTGCGTATTCCAGAAATGGTATTGAAGGAATTTTGAGTAGAATGTGAAGCACAAGTCACAGTGAGATGCGACCGAGAACAAGTCAGTTACATTTGTCAGATGCCACTTGTTGACATTCGTTGATTATTATGTGAACATGGAATATTCATGTCTGATATATACGATTTATTTTCTAAATCCCGTTCGGTTCGTATTATTATCCATACGCTATAGCAGGAGAATAAGAGATTGGCAAGACTAAGAGTAATTATTATATATATGCATATTATTACAGGACGAGGCACGATGAGGTATAATTTTTTTAGTACAGTAGCAATGAAGGTATTATTTACGACTCGTACGCAGGTGAGGCAAGCGAGAGTCGGAAAGTAGAAAGTAAGTGGATCCTTTTATAGGTCGGTCTATAACTGACTGGTGTAAGCTTGAAGAGCTGATATAGAGACTTACTACAGTGACGTCACAGAAGGTGACGCGAGAGATACTATCCGCACAGTCTCGAATCAATCGTCAGTTCCATGCAAAGGCCGGATCCCTAGTGAATCAAGTCACGAAAAATTCAAGAATCGGCAACAGGCCATGGGCCTATTTTCTTCAATGCCGACACTTCTATTCTATTATATTCTATATACTGATAGCATGGGTAGTGACGTATGAATTAAGCCACCTGACACATTCATTATAAAATGATAAATCAGATTGTGCGTGACGCAGAAATTTAGGTGTCACGTCCATTACGTGTGCGATGGGAAGTTTTCGTATGCTGCCTTTAGCTCGGACGGAACCGTATTTTGAGGCAGCTTTGCCTGTCCGGGCAGTCGTTGCGAGTAGCGGGTCAGGTGCACTACTCTTCAGCCTTATGGTTTGTGATCACTTACGTTTTGTGTTAATTACGGTTTATTATCGTTGTCGTATTTACATATTGTTTTGCTGTCCTAATAAAATTCTATTACCTTTCCTTATATTAAAACAAGTGCTATAGATAGTGCAGACAGCTGATGAATTCGTGAAGACTAGCACACCTTCATTCCCGTGAGTTGAAATGATTGTAACGCTTTGAATACATTTGTAACTTGGTATGTATCGCTACTTTTTGAATATTCTTGCTGCATAGATTCAAATATTTTTCCCATCAGTTTCAAATTTTCTGTACATCTATTTGTATTTAAACTCAGTATTTCTGAGCCAGCAGTTTTACTAAAATGCAGGATAGAGAAAACGAACACTGGACGTAATCTCTTTTCCCATATTGTTCCTGCCTGGCTTAGTTTAGGTCGCCATTGAACTTCTTATTAGGAGAGACTTGCAGCTGAGGTATTCTTTAATATTTCATGAAGCAATTCATCTGAAGCGCTGGTCTCAAGACTACGTATATCGCTGTGCTAATTAAACTATTGGGGCAGGAAGAATAAAAAAAACGCTGTTAATCTTCTTCAATTCATACCGCAAATTTTTGAAAAGTTTTATCCTGCTAAATTTAGATGGATGCATCGCTTCCTTCTTCCATTTAGAACTTTTAGGGTTCACACCTCGGAATTCGTAGCAAAATCTGATTATTGAAAATTTATTGCCCCAGGAGCACTTGAAATTTTCAGCCGAATTGCTTACCGTCTTTATTTCGCTTTTCTATCGTCCTATCACCACATAATTTTTTTATGGTAAAAATACTGCCGAATTCAACGCCTGATGAAATGCCTGTCTCCAGTACGTTATCCACACATGCTAGATCAAAGTCGCTTCTCATGAAACATCTTCCACTTTTTTGCTAATGTTTAATTGCGTTGTTAATTGCGTTGTTAATTAATTTGTTAATGTCACTTATCATTCCAATTTTCGGTTGAAATTCTAATTTACTGAGTCGTCAAAAAGCATCGACCTCAAAACACTGATAGTCCAATATTCGGTAATAAATTCATATGTTTCAGTCGCCCAAAAATGTCTGGAATTATGTTACGCCTGACACGGCCTGAAATGCGACCTGTGTACGCCCCGTGGTTTTGACCGGTCATTCCGCCCTTCACCTGGTCCGCTCGCACGGCAAAAAGAAGCCGGGCAGTGAAAGTGTCAGCAGCATGAATTGCCTGACTGGGCCTTAAAAATTCGGTAAAAACCCCACCCTCTCATGTGGACTCAAACCGCGGAAATTTTGAACCGCGGTTAGGTTAGCGTTATCGAAGGTCATCGGTAGGATTATGTAATTTGTTAAAACTGAACCAGCGGCCGCCGACTACCGGTTACATATAATCTGATGGAACTTGGCGAGGTCCTTTTTTTATGATGGAAGTTGGCCAAGTTTGGGAACTGACGGGTGACTCGCTGGAACCAATGGCCCTTATTTTCAGTCGTTGATTGGGTTTATATTCGGCACGTGTGAATTGCTCCACGGACTGGAACAGCAAATAAAGGTTTGGCAAACAAACCTAAACCTGTCCACTGAAGAGTAGCGTGGCTGTTGGAGTTACAAGTTTTTGCTGTAGCTGCAGTTCACTTTCATGCAGAAAATGTGCTCAGTCAGCTCTCAAATGATCACTTTTACAGATAAAAGGGGGCAGCACCATCTAAGTTTATTGCCTAATATTCAAAATTGTGTTGCGATGAACAAAAAGAGAGCTTTTTGACAAAATTTTACACTAAATTTAGACTGAGTTATAAATTTAGTTCAAGACGAACCTCGCTCCATTACAGCGCTTCTTCATCTATTTCATTTTCCTTACCTGGTTTTTTTTTTGCAGCGACGAGAGTGATGCGATTATATTAAATTATTTCTAATCCATGGTAATGTATTTTACATTTTTTGTACTTTTTCGCTCATTTTCTCATTTATGAAAAAAAAATGTTCTATATTGTGCTCGTCATGTCCGTCCGTCTGTCTGTCCGTCCGTGACTTCACGTTTTCGTCGACGAGAAAATGCGCTATCTGTCACTCACTGCAGTGAGTACTGAGTTATATTTTTCAAATCATGACCAATTGCAGCCAAGAAAACAATAAACGACGTGCTACACGTGTTACAACTGCTGTAACTTGTAACATCTGCACAGCGGTAGCTGAGTTATATTTTTTAAGTCATGACCCAATGCAGCCAAGAAAACAATAAACGACGTGTTACACGTGTTACAACTGCTGTAACTTGTTACATCTGCAGAGCGGTGGCTGAGGTAATTTTTTTTAAATTACGACCAATTGCAGCCAAGAAAACAATAAACAACGTGTTACACGTGTTACACGTATTACATCTCCAGTAACTTGTTACGTCTGCGCAGCGGTGGTGACGACGTGACGTGCATAACGTTCGCGTCGGTCGACGCGGCGTTCGCGAAGGCGCGCGACCTGCTGGGGCTCCCGCGCCCTGAGAAAACCGACAACGCGGAGCAGCGCGCCGAGCTCGGGGCCGTGCTGCTGGAGACTACGCGTATCATCGCCAGCGAGTGAGTACAGTGTTTAACAATAGACTTAATTATCTGTACTAACTGGTGCGTACAGTGATCATCATTAGCCTTAATTGTCTGTACTAACTAGTGCGTACAGTGATCATCATTACCTTGATTCTTTACGCATCAATTGCTCAGGTATCACCTGCCCAAAGACGTGATAGTGAACGGCCTGTCCCTCATTATTTTATACGGAATAAATGCCCAGGTATCACCTGCCGAAAGACGTGATAGTGAACGGTCTGTCCCACATTATTTTATACTGAATAAATGCCCAGGTATCACCTGCCCAAAGACGTGATAGTGAACGGTCTGTCCCTCATTATTTTATACTGAATAAATGCCCAGGTATCACCTGCCCAAGGACGTGATAGTGAACGGTCTCTCCCTCATTATTTTATACTGAATAAATGCCCAGGTATCACCTGCCCAAGGACGTGATAGTGAACGGTCTCCCCCTGATCGACACTCACAAAACCATCATCGGGACGGTCTGCTCCGACTTCACGCGGCCCGCTCCCTGCAAAGTTGAGAGGTGTGATCATTTATACGTAAGACAAAACTGTATATAAGCATAACATGTTTATTAATTACTCTTACGGTTAGGGCAAGCCAAAGAGGAATTTTTAAGAAAAATATTTCAACAACTTCCAATAATTACGTTGTATTTAAAGTTTTTGAAAACCACAATCATTTCTTCGGGAGAATACTTTATTATCAATTGTGTACTATTTGTAGAAATTGACAGTTATCAAACTAAACATGCATGATTCGCTTCTAAATCCGAATCTTGAAAATACAAACAAAACACCGAAATAAATTGAATCCTAAATGATTAAACTTTCAAATGTTTAATTAGTACAAGCATTAATTGGAACTAGTTTTAATTAGTACTAGTATTGCATATTACTAGCATTAATTAGTGCCAGTATCAATTAGTACTAGCATTAATTAGTACTAACATTAATTAGTACTTGAATTAATCAGTACTAGAGTTAATTAGTACTAACGTTAATTAGTACTAGAATTAATTAGTATTAATTACTACTAGCACTAATTAGTACTAGAACTAATACGGTAATCACACGCGGATGTCTGATATATGAAGCCATGTTACCGCACCAGATACCGCACGGTGAGCGGACGCTGCAACAACCTGGACAACCCTCACTGGGGCAGCTCCCTCAGCACCTTCAAGAGGTTCCTGCTGCCTGAGTATGAAGATGGTGAGACTAAAACCTTCAAATAAATTAATATTAGATCTGTTCAGCAGAATAAAAAGTATGAAGATGGTGAGACCAAAACCTTAAAATCAATTCATATGAGATCTGTTCAGCCAGAATAAAAGAATGTCGCAGAAAAGTGGACTTGTTATAGTCGCAGAAAGGTTGACTTGTTGAGATAATCAATGCGCATGTTGCACAATGAATATGTTAAATGCGATGTTTGTCAATGGCTCTAGAAAACGATGGTGATTCTCCGCTGATGATTTTCGTAAACGAAATCAGCGCTACATTCTGAACTATTGATAACAATTTATCTTCGTTAAATAATAGTTGGGCCTTAAGAGACCATTTCTTCCTAGGTCCTTAAATTAACGTAGAATCTATAGAGTACCTAAATTAAAAGTAGAATGGAAACAATTTTTGTTCCGCCCCCAGGACTGGACAAGCCAAAGGTGACGTCAAAGCACGGCCAGCCGCTGCCGTCACCACGCATGGTGTCCGCGCACGTCCACCGCGACGAAGGCCTCCACGACCACGCCATCACCATCATGGCTGTCGCCTGGGGACAGGCCATCGACCACGACATGACGCTCACCGCCGAGACTAAACGTAATTAATTGATCAATTAACTGACAAAGAACAATAAATACTTCAATAACTCATCATACATTTCTGTCAAAATAAGGAACAACAAATACTTCAATAGCTCTTCATGAATTTCTGTTAAAATGTCAAAGTGTCACTTCACGCTTCCGTTTATTAGCACATTTTTTCATTAATTGGAAAATGCGCTATTGTGCTCGTCATGTCCGTCTGTCTGTCCGTCTGTGTGTCCGTCTGTCTGTCCGTCTGCCTGTCCGTCTGTCCGTCTGTCTGTCCGTCTGTCTGTCCGTCTGTCTGTCCGTCTAAAAAAACTAATTTAGTTGTTGTTAGTTTGCTTAGAAACACATGTGCAAGCTCGGTGAGGGAGCTGGCTTCTAAAACCTAATTTAGTTGTTATTACTGAGCTTAGAAACTTCGCGTGCAGAGATAAAATGAAGATATTGATGTTAAAGATCATTGACTTGGATATGAAAAATATGAATATGATATATGCAAATATGGAAAATATGATATATGAAAATAGGAATAATATGATTTAAGAAAATAGGAAAAATGTGATATTTGAAAATATGAAAAATATATACTGATTATACATGATATGAGTCTAATATTTAGCTACAACAGCGGTATCAGTAAATTATATTACTACGTTAGCAAGCTTTCATGCAAGAAAATATGAGAACTCAACTATTCGATTAGTCGACGACTTTAGATTAGAGAATTCTTCATTAGGACAGTGACCAGCGTTTATGGGACCATAGATGGTCACGGTTCTTCTGACAGTGAAAGAGTAGAAGACAACTTATTCAGAGAGAGTAACTTTCAAAAATGCAAAAACCTAAATTGTTTGGTTTCTCGAACGTAACTATACTTGTTAAATGTTTCTATTAGCTTTTATTTCCTGTAAATTACGAAAATAAGTGGTAATATATATAATAAACCTTATATTATATAATATAATATAGTATTGTACAGCCATGACCGTTTCATTGTATAGCCATGACCGTGCTGTGCCCAGTATTGTACAGCCATGACCGTTTCATAGTATAGCCATGACCGCGCTGCGTGCTGTGCCCAGTCTATTACCGAAGCTATGGTCCCCTTATAGACGAGGTTTAACTTCAATGGCTAGGATCGCCCTTTCGAACCCAAATCCGCTAGTAACACATCGATTGGAGGTGGAGAAAATTAAAAGAAAAAAATACCATCGAAGATCACATTTATTAGATATTATTCTTCTTCATATATGTAAATATATGTCAATTAATGAACTATGTTCACTTCTCTCTGTGAGCCTTAACCAAAGACTCACGCAAGTAAATCAATTTTCCTCTCAATACCATATCCTCAAATAGGATCAGTAAGTAATCGAAGTCATTGCTAAATAATCACCCACATTATTCAAGAATAGAATCAGTAATTAATTGAAGTCATTGCTAAATAATCACCCACATTATTCAAGAATAGAATCAGTAATTAATTGAAGTCATTGCTAAATAATCACCCACATTATTCAAGAATAGAATCAGTAAGTAATCGAAATCATTATTAAATAATCACCCACATTATTCAAGAGCACCAAATAACTTGAATTTAAATAAGAAGCTCCTGCCAAGCCTATACTTTCAAAAAAGTTAAGAGATCGTAAGTTCATCAGCCAATCATTGACGGCCTTTCAAGCAAAATCCACCAATCATAGGCAAGAAAATAGAGCGTAAGTACTTACGTTCACTTAGCGAGTTTTGAAAGTATGGCCCCTGATACCACCAGTCTCTGCCGGTGTTCCGGGAGTTCGGCCTTAAGGACATGATGCCTCTGATCATATCCTTAAATATAATCAGTAATTAATTGAACTCATTGCTAAATAATCACCCAATATTATTCAAGAGCACCAAGTAACATAAATTTAAATAAGAAGCTTCTGATACCACCAGTCTCTGCCGGTGTTCCGGGAGTTCGGCCTTAAGGACATGATGCCTCTGAAGCTCACCGAGCCCTCCGCTGGCTGCATCCGTCCTAACGACGAGGTCTTCTGTTTCGACGCTGGCGACAACCGTGTCAACGAACAGCTCGTGAGTCATTCTTTCCTGAAAATGTTGTGAATTAATCTGAATCTGAAATAAAATTCTTAATTTTCTGAATTGTATTTCTTCTCGTTGATCTTGAATAGTAATCTTTCCTGAAAATGTTATGAATTAATCTGAATCTGAAATAAAATTCTGAATTTTCCGAATTGTATTTCTTTTCGTTGATCTCGAATAGTTACGACTTATTCATTTCTGGGCCTTTCAGTTGTTGTTGAAAACTATTATTTATCCACCGTAATTTGTTCTGGAAGCAATTTGATTAATATTCGCATAGAATGTTCATATTATAAGTAATTGTACGAGTCGGTACACTTCTATCCTAGATTTAAAAATTCGAAATAGAGTTTTTATGTTTAACATTGATCTGTTAAGCGTGAGCGTCCTTTAGAGTTTTACGTTATTGAACTTTATGCTTTAAAAATTAAGAAAAGGTCATCAGAATTTTTTGTATGCCTAATTAAAACCTCCGATCATCTAAGATCGGTACAATATTTTTCAACGTCACATTTGATCATCATGGCCATTATAATCATAGCAATTATAATAAAAATATTATTAATTTACTGTCCGTAGAAAATAATGCCCTTCTAATAAATAATATTATTGACTTACTGTGTGCAGAAGATTAATGCCTCCGAGAATATTGCTGTTTTACTGCCTACGATAGAATAATTCAGACAAGAATATGAAAAATAATAACGCGATCATCAATTTATTGCATGCACATACCAACGGCCTCCCGTAATTGCCGAGCAATATAACTGGTACATGTTTTGCACGCGATTATGAGAAAATAATGTAACCTCGTACGTATTTTCAGACTCATATTTTCACGTGCATCGATGATGATGTGCACTTTTTTACGATCTGCGCATTATTCAAATTTTTTTATATGATCTCCACTCCCTTTTTTCCCTTAATTTTCTCTTACTTATTTATTTCAGTTAACACGTTCAAAAAAACGTACTTGCATCGTACGGAAAATTACATAGATTTTAGATGGAGTGATAAAAGTATTGACAATGTTTTCGACAGTTGTTGAATTTCTCGGTTTCTGCACTCATGTCTTTGCAAATTGCTCGTCATTTCAGCGTACATAAATAATTTATTCATGAATTTTATTTTTATGTGTACCTGCGAATATCAGCGTACATAAATGATTTATTCATGAATTTTATTTTTATGTGTGCCTGCGTATAATGATATGCTTTATTCCAGGTCCTTGCTGTGGTTCACACTTTGTTCATGCGCGAACACAACAGAATTGTCACGGAGTTGGCCAAAGTTAACCCACACTGGGATGATGAGAAACTCTACCAGGTGAGTGGCTTAAGTTCCATTGTTTATAATCACAAATTTTTATTTGATTGCCATTCTTTATTATTACTAATTTCTATTCGTTCGCATTTCCATAGCTTATAATCACAAATTTCTATTTGATTACCATTCTTTATTATTACTAATTTCTATTCGTTCGCATTAAAACAGTCATTTCAGACTTATAGACTCTCGTGTGAGAAATTATTTTTAATATTTGTGATGAACACAGAAAGAAAGTAAGGTATAGTTGAATTCTAAATATATTTTCAGCACAGTATACGCAGGGATCCGATTTTCTTCAACAATGGCACGAATATTTGTTCCGACTGAGTGCTCTAGAAACGGATTGCTTGTGAACCTTGAAGTTCATAAATTTATAAATCGCCTTTAAAATTTGTATCCGTGCCCTTGAGTTTGCTTTCATTCAATAATTGCTTTTTACATAATCCAAAAAAGCATTATATTCCGTCATTTTTTGCACCCGGAATATATATATTTATATAAATGGCTGTACAATCAAAACTCAGTCAAGTAAATGAAGTGGCCCAAGAACAAGGAGTGGCCGAATTCTCGTCTATATATAGTTGGTGGGTTTAGCTTGACAAGCCGTCAGTGATTTGCTAAGGAAGTTACGAAATCGTGAATATTCTAGTTAGTACAGCTACAGACCAATTTTATATGTTAGCGATACCTGCTTTCGTTCCAGTGAAAATTTACAGACGCGTCAGCTTCTAAATTGGATTTCCAGAAACTGGGGCGACTCTAAATTTTGCTAGGGGTCGCATGAATTGCAATACAATGAATTTTATATTACGTTTACTGATCAGGAGGGTCGCCACATCGTGGCTGCCATCATCCAGCACATCACATACAACGAGTTCCTGCCCATGATTCTCGGCAAGGACATGATGACGAAGCACGGCCTCATCCTGCAGAAACATGTGAGTCGATGCGAGCGTTTAAAAAAATGTCAACGCAATAAAAAATGTCGCAGGTCGATATGGGAGTCTTTTACACAAATGTGATGACGTAGCAATTAGCGTTCGGCATTTTCTTAAGATAGGACTCTTGGAAGCTAGATCCAAAAGTTGTTATTTATATCGAAACTTTTACTCTTTTAACAGCTCTCAAAATTTCAAAATCGAACAGTCTTATGAGTAAAACTTCAATTGCCTTCTCATCGATTTAAATCCTTTCAATTTTCGATTTGAATCCTATCGATTTTTCTACTGACTTTTTTTTATCGCATCGATTTAAAATCCTAAAAGTGTTGAAATTTGAAATATTTAATTGATTTCAGGGGCAACTATATACATCCAAAACATTGGATTGAATTTTCACGACCAATATCATAATATTGTATTTCTTCTCATAATTCTTCTTATCTCTTTGGTTGATTATCGGATAATTTCCAAGAACTCTCTGTGTGGCTCCAACTCATGGGTGCAAGATTTAATCGCGGCAAGTAGGGAGTGAAACAATATCATTTGGCTTTTATAGGTTATTTTTACATCGACCGCTTTCCAGATCCAATTCAATGTGAGTAATATGAATATTATACGACTGTAATTAAAAAACTAATATGGTTACCTCAACATTTAAGCACGTTTTTCTCATATTTATTGTCATATTTCCAGTAAACTTCCAACTCCATAAAACGAAATGACGTAATGGTATTACGTTATAGACATTATGAATAATTCTTACGAGTATTTATTTATAGAAAATTGTTCCAGTTCTATTTATTGGGTTTTTTCGTGCAGAATAATTTATATTATTTATTCCTGGCAAACTATTTATTTCGTAATTTTAGGGTTAACATTTATGTAGATTGTGAACTCTGAGTTTTGTGGGATCTTGCACCTGTGTCAGTCACCTGTCATTTATAGTTTTTCGAAAAAAAAATAATATAATAAGCAACCGAAATTTACGACGATTTTGTCGTTAATTTTTTCCTTATCAATTCAAATTATCGGCCACGATAACCCTGGGTATAAAGTGAAATTGAGAGCAATTTAGTAGAAACACTTCTGGACCCATCCGAACAATTGTGACTCCAATTTGTAATTTGATGCTATAAGTGTTATTTGGTAACCCATGCATTCTGTTCACTATTGTGTCTGATTCTGAACAACACCGTTCAGATTTTCATTGTAACCCCAGCATTATATTTATCAGTGCACCAATGAACTGTGAACCAATGCCTTTTCATAATAAGAACTTCATATGCAGACGTATCTGGGTTTTTAAGAACTTCATCATTATCTATTGACTAGAAAAGCGTATCCATCAATAGGAGTTGCCACCTTGCATGTCATCTGTGCGTAACGTGAACGTCACATTATTGGGAGAGATGCGCATGAAAACTCTGTGTGTTGAGTAGGTTGGTCTTACAATTGTAGCCGATGCATATCTTGAAACTTATTTTTATTCAAAACCCTTGTATTAAATTAAGCTGCACCATGTTTTTTTTTACTGTCCTCCATTCCAGTACTTACAAGAAACGTCGCAATGTGCAAAAGACTTTCGGTCGTGGCTAGTAAGTGTCAGTGATTCTCCACAACAATATGACTATAGGGCTATTCTTTTCTATAAAACTTGAAACTGTGATAATTGCTATAATATTTTTATTGATGCGTTTCTTATCAGGGATACTTCGATGGCTATGACCCGAAAGTGGACGCTTCGGTCTCGGCTCAGTTCATTACGGCTACGTTCCGCTTCGGCCACTCACTGCTGCCATCCACCATCGAGCGCTGGAGTCCAAACCACAAGTACATCGGTGAGCACCGCGACGGTTGTTCCCTGCACCGAGTCATTGTTGGATTATTTATTTTATTTTAAATGGCACTGATGCCATGTAAAATAAAATAAATAAAATAAATAAAATAAATAAATAAATGATTTTAAATTTAACTTTTATTAAATTCGACAGTTGTTCCCTGCACCTATTCATCGTTGGATCATTTACTTTGAATGGAATTGCTGCAGAACGTGACGATAACTTTTATTAAATTCGATAGTTGTTCCCTGCACCTATTCATTGTTGGATTATTTATTTTATTTTACATGGCACTGATGCAGTACGTGACGATAACTTTTATTAAATTCGACAGTTGTTCCCTGCACCTATTCATCGTTCGATGATTTACTTTGAATGGAATTGCTGCAGAACGTGACGATAACTTTTATTAAATTAGGCAGTTCTTCCCTGCACCTAGTCATCGTTGAATCATTTATAATAAGTTGAATGGTATCGCTGCAGGACGTGACGATAGTTTTTATTGCATTATCTTTATGCCACTACCTTGCGATAGTAAGCAATATTAACACACGTTTCGATGAATATTCTCATTCTTTCACAATTTGCCGTTACTTGGAATTTAAAACATGAAAGACTTGTAAATGAGAAAAATCATCACGCAGTTTTCGTTCTGAATATAACTTCCTATATAGTAACGATCATGAAAGAACAGTAATGTAACAACATTTAATCAACAATCGCTACTTTCATCATAACCCTGCCTTCACAGCCTCGCTATTTAAGAGCTTATTCATCTTTAAAAACCCCTGCTGTTCGAAATCAGGTTGTATTGAACACTTTTTATTGCTCCCCTCTAAAGATGTTCTCATGAAGTTCATTTAACGTTTGCAGCTTCACAGCGTCTGAGCGAGATGTTACGGCAGCCTTACGTTACTAATGTAATGTACGTTACTAATGTTACATAATGTAATGTACGTTACTAATGTTACTCCCTCTAAAGACGTTCTCATGAAGTTTATTTGTTGTTCACAGCTTCGCAGCGTCTGAGCGAGATGTTACGTCAGCCGTACGTTACTAATGTTACTAATTTACTGTACGTTACTAATGTTACTCATGTTATGTACGTTACTAATGTTACTCCCCCTCTAAAGACGTTCTCATGAAGTTCATTTGATGTTCGCAGCTTCACAGCGTCTGAGCGAGATGTTACGGCAGCCTTACGTTACTAATGTAATGTACGTTACTAATGTTACATAATGTAATGTACGTTACTAATGTTACTCCCCTCTAAAGACGTTCTCACGAAGTTCATTTGATGTTCGCAGCTTCACAGCGTCTGAGCGAGATGTTACGGCAGCCGTACGACCTGTACAAGGGTGGCTGGTGCGATCAGTACATCATGGGACTGTGCAACCAGGTCGCTCAGGCCATGGACGACGCTGTTACACAGGAGGTGAAAAATTATGTCATCAATTTGAATTACAAGAAAAATAATCACGTAAAATGCACCAAGAAAGATGAATTTTTCACAATAATAAGGTATACAAGAAAAATGAAATATTTCAATATTAAGCCACTTTAAGATAAATGTAAACATTTCATTTTCTAACAGATCTTCATTATCTCAAATTTCTAATTAATAACAGAAAATTTGTCTGCACCGTAAATTTTACGACCCGTCAAGATAAACGAATTTGAAGTTTCACAATTTTATGTACGCTCAAAACTAATTTATGCTGATTTGAAAAATCTTTCTTTTGCCTCGTTAGATGACTGAGTAATCATCGAACACGTCTCATGAAGCAATGTTATGAAAAGATTTAATGATATCTGTTGGAAGCTGTTTGGCTGTAATAGTTCTGTTCTCATTTAAAATTAATTTGTCCCACTGATAATTTAGAACGTGACTAAGCTGCAGAAAAAACTGCTGTCAGCGCGTCAGAAGCGATGAAACAGCATAAATCGCTTTCATCATTCATGTTTACAGTAAAAATAATTTATGAATTCAAATGACCGAACCACACGCTCCAAGAAACTAAATTTCACACTTGCATGCATTGAATTTATTTCGTTAATTTTTACGTCAGGTGACGAACCATCTGGACGAACCATCTGCTCCAAGGAACTGAAGCTTACACATGTGTCCACTGAATTTATTTCGTTAATTTATTCGTCAGGTGACGAACCATCTGTTCCAAGAAACTGAATTTCACACATGCATACAATAAATTTATTTCGTTAATTTATGCGCCAGGTGACAAACCATCTGTTCCAAGAAATTGAAGCTTACACATATGTCCAATGAATTTATTTCGTTAATTTATGCGCCAGGTGTCCAATGAATTTATTTAGTTAATTTATGCGTCATGTGTCCAATGAACTTATTTCGTTAATTTATGCGTCAGGTGACGAACCATCTGTTCCAAGAAACGAACAAGAAGTTCGGCATGGACTTGGCGTCGATCAACATGCAGCGTGCGCGGGAGCACGGCGTGCCGTACTACAACGACTTCAGGGAGTTCTGCGGCCTACCGCGCATACACTCTTGGAGCGACCTCGGCGGGTGGATGGCCAATAAGACCGTGCACCGATACAGCGATGTATACGGGTCAGCTAAGCTCTAAAATATTTCTTTACAACACTCAAGACGTATACGGGTGAGCTAAGCTCTAAAATATTTCTTTACAACACTCAAGACGTATACGGGTGAGCTAAGCTCTAAAATATTTCTTTACAACNACCTGTCTCTTATACACATCTAGATGTGTATAAGAGACAGGTATACGGGTGAGCTAAGCTCTAAAATATTTCTTTACAACACTCAAGACGTATACGGGTGAGCTAAGCTCTAAAATATTTCTTTACAACACTCAAGACGTATACGGGTTAGCAGCTTTGCAGCACAATGGCATTATTCCTTTACGACTTGCATGTCATTTCCGCATGAGTCACGAAAAATTTTTAATTTTTGAAGTTTTAATTAAAATTAAGTGATATGTTTGTAAATCTGTTTGTAAATGCTATTAAATGAGAGCTGACATGACTGTGCATCTCAGAATTGAAGTTTAGTATTCTGTCTGCTCGTATTTTTAACTTATGACAAATTTATGCCGACTTAAAAATACAAGTGAATTGGAATAGTGATTCCAAAAGTTGTGTAACCAATGGTACAAACGTGAGCTGGTATCTCAGTTCGAACTCGCTTGTTTTCATATAATTATATAAAATAATGTTCAATCATCAGCTTTTTCACTGGAAAAAAGAAAGGCATATGCTTCGAGGTTTTCTTTATATGCGCACAAGCTATTAATTATTGGAGCTAAAATAACGTGCGTTTGCAACTTCGTGTTCAAACTTGCACGCTTAGAATTTCAAGTTTTTTAATTATCATTTTGTACAGTTTCTCGCAATTGTCTCGACGTAAACATTCTCTCACGTTAACATCGGACGCTCTGCTGTAGATCATTTTTACATTGACCGCTTTGCAAATCACAATTCAATGTTAGTAATATGAATGGACGAAAATGAATATTCATTCATTATGAATATTCATTCATTATTCAAACATTATTCAATTACATTATTCAATTACATTATTCAATTACATTATTCAATTACATTTTTCAATTACATTATTACATTATTCAATATTCATTCATTATTCATTCATTATTCATTCATTATTCATTCTCTTATTCATTCATCAGCCACCCGGACGACATAGACCTGTGGAGCGGTGGTGTGAGTGAGCGCCCCCTGCCAGGGTCCATGGTGGGCCCCACGTTCAGTTGTCTCATGGGCCTCACGTTCAAGGACCTCAGATTTGGGGACAGGTTCTGGTACGAGAACGCCGGCTACCCGTCGTCCTTCTCCCCTCGTGAGTAACTTCTTATCAATTCATATAAAGAAAATAATTAATCTTCACTTTTTTATTATGTACCGAACAAATTTTGACCTAAAGCAAGGACTGAAACTCATTCTTACTTCCACCCGCATTCCAATCATTATATGTGACGTAACATATTATATATAATAATATATTATATTATATTATTATAAGTAAATCAAGCGTGCCAATACTCCATTACCTGTGGAATATTTCCTTGACCTTCAATCTGGAATTTGAAGTTGAAAATTAAAAAACAAACAAACACGTTTTCCAGATGTCATACATTTTTCGTATATATAAGTTGCTCAATTGAGTAAAATTAGAATTTATTTTTTGCTGAATTCATATCAAAAAGTTTACCTTACAAGACTATAATGATTCGCAGTGTCTTGATAGGTGAAATTTAAAATGAATCATTTTCCGCTTCAGGCTCTTAAATATTGAAATAAACGATGGTGCAATTGATGTAAATTGAATAATCCAGTAGAACTAACTTTTCCTCTAACCAGCCGTACTCCTGCAAATACACTTTCTAATTATATCGATAGTAGCAAACTTGAAACAATTTACTCTTGGTCTTTATTGTATTTTAAGAAGTTAACCACCATCAATCTAAGTTTACACATAGTGAAGAATTATGGCTTCACATTTCAATGTTAACTTTATTGCTCCCATAGCTAAATTTTCAATGATTATTGATATTATTGTTCTAGGGAGATCAATATTTCTGCGATTAGGGTGCCGCGTAAATACGATTTCTCTCGACGACTCGTGCATTTAGGAACTGCAAATGCATCAGAGAAAATGCAGTTTTTTCAAACGTGGTAGCTATTAAATGTTCAATCAGTCATTGAATTTTCTGGTAAATACATTCGACCAAAAAATTTTCCATTTTTCCACAGACCAACTTGAAGAAATCAGAAAAATAAAACTTTCGAGGATTATTTGCGACAACAGCGACGACATCAAGAAAATCCAAGTGTACACAATGGTGCTGCCGGACCATGACATGTGAGTCTCGCAATCTTATATCTCAATCTTATATCTCAATCTTATATCTCAATCTTATATCTCAATCTTATATCTCAATCTTATATCTCAATCTTATATCTCAATCTTATATCTCAATCTTATATCTCAATCTTATATCTCAATCTTATATCTCAATCTTATATCTCAATCTTATATCTCACTGATTAACCAATTGCCAAGTTTTATTTGTTGTAATTCGAATAATAATATTAAACAACGTAACTTGTAAAAGAGAACGAAAAGCGTTCATGTGGGGATCCAAGTCCATGTCTATGGAAATTACTTGAGTAAGAATCAACAGCCGATGTAACCCGATCAGTTTACCGTGATCAGCTAAAGGACATGATTACAAATTAATAGGCAAGGGCTAGAAAGACACACGGTTTATAGTTTTATAATTTGTTTTCTTCTATTTATCGTTCATTTATTATTATGGGATTTCATTCCTTATTTTGATTCATCCTTTATTTATAATCATTGGTCAAGTGTCTGGGGTCCAAGAAAGCCTACTTATTGATTAGATTATATTTAAAGGCTTTTCATAACAATTCTCTTACAATTCTGGCATCCGCTACTATTGGTTCAGGTTAATATTCTTTCCAAATAACATAACATGTTGTACCTATCCAGGCCTATTCTTCAATGCCGAATGTACTATACTATACTATACTATACTATACTATGCTATGCTATACTATACTATACTATACTATACTATACTATGCTATACCTGTCTCTTATACACATCTAGATGTGTATAAGAGACAGGAATTGGTCAGGCAACATGTTGAGAACTAGAATTGGTCAGGCAACATGTTAAGAACTAGAATTGGTCAGGCAACATATTTAGAACTAGAATTGGTCAGGCAACATGTTGAGAACTAGAATCGGTCAGATAACATTCGAGAACTAGAATAGGTCAGGCAATATGTTATGAAGTAGAATTGGCCAGGCAATATGTTGAGAACTATAATTGGTCTGGCAACATGTTAAGAATTAGAATTGGTTAGGCAACATTTAAGAACTAGAATTGGTCAGGCAACATGTTAAGAACTAGAAATGGTCAGGCAGCATGTTTAGAACTAGAATTGGTCAGGCAACATGTTAAGAATTAGAATTTGTCAGGTGACATGTTGAGAAATAGAACTGGTCATGCAGCATTTATGAACTAGAATAGGTCAGGCAATATGTTAATAATTAGAATTGGTCAGGCGGCATATTTAAAACTAGAATTGGTCATGCAAAATTTAAGAACGAGAATTGGTCAGGCAACATGCTAAGATCTAGAACTGGTCAGATGACATGTTGAGAATTCTAATTTAAGATTCAAATTCGACCTCGAACGTATTACCTCGACCTCTAACCCACCCAATCAAAATTTTTATTCCTGTCAGTCGCTTGCTCAAGGACGCCCCAAGCACGCCTAGCGGCGTAAATTAGCGGTTTTACCAAATAAAGTTCCCATGGTGTATTTATTAGATTCTACCCCAATTTTGTCATAACGATGAATGTTGATAATGAATTAATGTTTATAATTATTGTACATAGCATCGAACAAAATTGCACTAGAATCCCTGCACTATTACTAACTTTCAGTGCGTTATGTTTTACTGACGACTTTCCTTCCAGAAACTGATTTTCACGCTCCGTGATTAACTGCATTTTTTACATGTTCATCTTAGTACTTACATTTATTCTATATAACAAGATCTTGAGTAGTTCCTATGCAAGTGAGCATGTGAGCCAACTGCTCCTGTCGGTAATCTTGTATCTTTAGTTGCCGCACAACCCTTTGCTCATCAATGATCCTGAAATGTAAATGCTAGCTGATCCCTCATGAGAATTTTTCAAAACTGCGAGAAATATTTTTTGCACAAAGCGTAGGAAGAAATGAAGTCTGAGGAAAGTCAATGGCATTACACAAGAAAATTTCTGCTGCTATAATGACTCTTGTAATATGGTCTCTAGGTTACAATAATATTCACAATTGTTGAAGTAATGTATTAATACCATTGAAAAATTACCTGATGTTAATATTCACAATCAGTAATATAATTACTGATGATAATGTCATCGAAAATCAAAGGGTTGTACGGCTCTGACCTTGAATATGTCACTAACATGATATGGTGACTTTGAATATGCCACTAGCATGATATGTTGTCCCTGAATATGCTACTAACGTGATATGTTGTCCTTGAATATGCCACTAACATGCTATGTTGACCTTGTATGTGCCACTAACATGACATGCTGCTTATACATGTTTATTTTGTGATCGTTTCCCCAGGTGTTCCATCACTGACCGAGGCTCGTCTTCCATTTACTATCGGACAGAACAGTGACACCTACTTACTGCGCTCAGACCAACGTGTATATTGTATAGCGGACTGTGTACATACAATAATTTCGACTGCACTGCTCTTCTATAGAAATAATACTTAATGTCACTGTCCCCATTCAATAACTTTTATTAGCTATTGATACTAAAGTCAAAATGCTTGTTATATTAACTAAAAGGCAGTTCTTGCTGACACTGTTTTCGCTCCTAAGAATCCATGGCACCTAATCCGTCGAATCCTTTGTTTGCCTCATAACAAATGAAAATCGCTTTGCACAGTCGCAGTGACTGCGTATCGATTTTAATTATTTGATTTATCTGATTCTCCATTTGAATAATAATTGGAAGTTACTGTCACCCATTAATTCGAGAAGCGAATTGGCTATTGGTGCTCTTAAATTATTTTTAAATTAAGGATATTGTATTATAGAAGAGACTATTTGAAAATTTAAATGCAGGTTATCCTATATAAAGAAGAGAGATGTGCACGGCTCTCAGAATGGGAGTAGATTGTCTCGGCAGATTTAAGTACTCTAGATGAACAGTGGATATCATAATTGAAATAATTAAAAATTGATCTAGAATAGCAATAAATAAAGAATAATGTTATCATGTGACTGGAATATAAAATCCAAATTGAATAATCTTGAATTTTGTCATTTTAATTCTATTTTCAATTCCTCAATTGGACTCGTTAATTATCCAGATTTTTTTGCTGCAAGGCTATCAAGTAATATGCTTGTAGTTTTGAAGACTGAGTCGTTACATGAATTATTTCGCTGAATTTATCAAACCAATACTTAAAAAAATTGATTGACTGCCTGACTTTGACGTAAGTTCCTGACGTTTGACATGACTGAACCACAAGCTATGCATGATGCACACCAGATTTTACTAACACAATTTATTAACAATCTAATTCTTAAGCTGAAAAACCTTTGATATTAACTTATCTGAGTTGCTTTAATATCTTGAAATATCTGTCAAATTCTTACTATGACAGCATTTGAAAGTTTTGGTTCAGAAGTAAATACACTAGGCAGGCAACGTAGACGTTAATGCGTCGTGCGTTATAACGTTTACGTTGATGCGTCGTGCGCTATAACGTTGACGTTGATGCGTCGTGCGCTATAACGTTGACGTTGATGCGTAGTGCGTTATAACGTTGACGTTGATGCGTCGTGCGTTATAACGTTGATGCGTCGTGCGCTATAACGTTGTCGTTGATGCGTAGTGCGTTATAACGTTGACGTTGATACGTCGTGCGCTATAACGTTGTCGATGCGTCGTGCGTTATAACGTTGACGTTAATGCGTCGTGCGCTATAACGTTGTCGTTGATGCGTAGTGCGTTATAACGTTGACGTTGATGCGTCGTGCGCTATAACGTTGTCGTTGATGCGTAGTGCGTTATAACGTTGACGTTGATACGTCGTGCGCTATAACGTTGTCGTTGATGCGTCGCGCGTTATAACGTTGACGTTCATTGCAAGAGCTAAATAAGTGAGACGGTTCACATGTAAACAGTATAAAAACAAATGACATTTTTTATGGTTAACATTTCCTAAAGATTGAGAATTTAAACAATGCCAACAAAATAACAAATGATCGATGAGAAGCGAAGATTTAAATAATTATTTAATACTTAATCAATAAGTTTCAAATTCATAAATGAATCATAAGTTGATCAATTCACGGACAATATTGAAACACGGCAAATTTAATTAGCTAAATTTATTCAATACAGGAAAATAACTTATTTTGCAGGAACTTCAATGGCATTGACATTAAAATAAAGTACGGAGACCTACAAATTTATAAACAAAAATATAGGCAACATATATGATGAGTGTAACAAATTTTATTGTACGAATTTAAGTGATATGCCTGTGCGATAAATTAAGTCATGTCTAGTAAGATAAAGCTTTCTTTCTAATGGTAACCGAACAGAATTATCTTCTGTTCGATATTTGATAAATTAACGAAAATCATCACGAGACTTATAGCTCAGTGACGGACTTAGAGACGCGACATGACGGGACTCTGCCTTGTGATGTCAGGAGTCGTTGCTGCAGCTGCGGTGAGTCTTCGTACACCTTGAACCACACCTTAGTGTCCTCGGTATGTGTTTAGGACATACCTTAGTGTCCTTAGTAAGTTGCGGCCATACCTTAGTATCCTTAGTAAGTTTCGGGCACACCTTAGTATCCTTAGTAAGTTGCGGCCATACCTTAGTATCCTTAGTAAGTTGCGGCCATACCTCAGTATCCTTAGTAAGTTGCGGGCACACCGTAGTATCCTTAGTATGTTGCGGGCATACCTTAGTATCCTTAGGGTGTTGCGGACATACCTTAGTATCCTTAGGATGTTGCGGACATACCTTAGTATCCTTAGGATGTTGCGGACATACCTTAGTATCCTTAGGATGTTGCGGCCATACCTTAGTATCCTTAGTAAGTTGCGGCCATACCTTATTATTGTTAGTAAGTTGCGGGCACAATTTAGTATCCTTAGTGAGTTGCGGGCTCACTTTAGTATCCTTAGTAAGTTGCGGGCACACTTTAGTATCCTTAGTGAGTTGCGGGCACACTTTAGTATCCTTAGGATGTGTTTGCGTGTAGCAGTCCCAGGCCACGCTGGGCTTTACCTCAACCCCCACGCTGCCCCAAGTGCGAGGCGTGTAACTCCGATGGGGAACGGAGTGATGGCGAGTGAGGCTTTGAATCAAGTTTAAATGTTGCTTGTCAATGTTTTTGTCGAGAAAATTGACCTCCGCCTACCGCGCTGGAAACCCAATAGCTTGTAGTGAGGTTAAGAGTTTGGGAAGCGCTTCACTGCATCTTTTTTACGTTAACGTTTTTCGTATCAGTTCGTATTCTAGAAACGGAATTCAATATTAGGAATTTTTAATGGAGTTCAATGCTTATGAGTGTTGAACACAGAACTCATGATTAATTTTATTGGTGTTCGTAATTCTGCTGTAGTAGAAGATGTCAGTTTCATATAAGAAAGAATTTCAAGAATTTCGTACTTTGATGATGACAATAACTTTGTACATACAAGTGACGACTTCGATTCTTGTATCTTCCTGTAAAGTTTGTCAAAGAAAATTTTACCTCAAACTAACTACTCTTATTCATCCAGATGAGCATGAATATCTGAAGACTAATTTTCAGAGCTTCTGCATGTCTCGTAACCTTCCTTTACTTACCATCGACCAAAACTGTATAATATTTCTGCCAGCGGGTGCGTGTTTGCCTTTAGAGTTTAGACCAACGTACATGAACTCTTTGTATTTCTGTAAATTGAAAGATTCCTCAACATTTATAAAATTTTGGGAAGAAATAAAGTCGAAATTTTGGAGAAAAACGTGCAAAGAACGACAATTAAGTGACTGTTTGCTGGTACTTCGCAATTGTTGTGGAAATTTTCGTCTTATGTTTAAATATTAAATGAACAAGTCTCTAACCCTCATGAACTTTGCCTCATAATGATCAGCTAAACTTGAAAGTAGAAAACTTTCGTTCCTAAAAGCTAGGTGCGCAGAAACTGATTTCTCACTGCTCATGGAATCTGACATTAGATAAAAAAATTGTATATTTTATAGTGCCTTGAAAAATTCACCTCATGCCCACAACCTCATCGAAAGCTTTAACTAATTTTTGCAATTTCAGTTTGGCGTTGAAGAGCACCTCCAGCCTCTAGACCTGCCACCTGGCACGCGAGAACATTTCCAGAACCCTGGTGGGGCGGTGGCCGGACAGCCTGCCAACACCCAGCTCCTCAACGTGGGTCCCCCGCTGCCAAGCTTGAATGATCTCGGCGGAGATTTCAATAGTTTTGGCTCTGATTTCAATTTCGGCAAACCTGGATTAGGGTCTGACTTGGATTTTGGGAAACCCCATGGTGGATTCGAGTCCGGTATTGATTTTGACTCAACTGGACTGAAAGGGGGATTTGGATCCGATTTTGATTTCGGGAAGATTCAAGGAGGCTTTGAATCAAGCTTGGACTTTGGAAAACCTCACGGGGTCCAAATAGATGTTGGAAAACCAGCCGATGTGCATCTCGACTTTGGAGGTGGTATAGATTTCGGCAAAACAGGTGATGGGTTCAAGCACGATGCCGGCGTTGTACCTCACCAGGAGATCCTGCACGGTGGATTCGACGTCCAATACGGAGCACCTCACTCCAAAGGGCACAAACTCTCAACTGGGTACTCGGACTTTGCTCTTGGAGATTTCGGCCCAGTAAAACACGACTCAGTCATCGGCTACGATGTTCCATCTAAACCTAAACTACATAACTTCGGTTCTGTCCACAGTAGCCATGGATCAGCCCACTCTAGTGTATCCATAGGCAGCTCGGGAGGTTTTAAGCCGATATCACATGGATCCATTCCCTATGGATCTAATTTTAATTCATACGGGCCTCCTGCCGTATCGTACGGTGCTCCACTAAAGGTGCACGGACCACCACCCAAACCCTACAGACCTGCACATCAGAGCTATGGTCCTCCGCCCGCCAGTTACGGACCACCACCGACCCCTTATCTGACCTCGGCAGTCGTCATACCCCTTCGACCTAGTCACAGGCCTAGTGGAAAAGGAAAAGGAGGTGGCGGGTATTGGAAAAAATTCACTGGTATGTTCGGCAAATGAGATCGCAGAAAATTCCGCAAAATTTAGAATACTTTTTTATAAGTTACGTTTGTTTGTGATTTAAAATATGTACTTATCCTCAAAGAATAAGGTCTATGATCTAAAGGATCGAAGTTATCGGTTAAGTTATTGGCTTGGGTATCAAAGTGCTGAATGATTTAAGCAAAAAATTGTGAGGTTGGAAATTCATTTATTGTGGACGCGAAAGGCTACTCTGAAACTTGGCAATTCGTTATTTTCAGACAAACGTTTTCACTTGTCCACTTATCGAACACCATTAATAATCATATTTTATATCGTCTAAAGGTTAAATGATTTAACAATTAAAGGCTAAAGTGAAAAATTGATTTAGAAACCAAATTTATAACCCTTTTCAGAATACTGAAGACTGCAACGAGTTTGACATCTGTCACCGCACCCCAATAGTCCTGTACTTGCTCATGCTTTCATGCTCCACTCTGTGTTTTATTACGTGCAATTCCATCTGTTCCACTTAAACTAAAAAATAAAACAACAAGAATATTTCTAATGACAATCTTCTGAACGTGCCTTTTCTAAAGTGGTGCACGTTATAGGGAATGAGCGAATTGATTGAACAAGCGAACGCGTGACTCCTTTAACGGAGCAATTCCGGGACGCATTCCTTCCGCCTTTTTAGAACTGAACTCTATTCTGACGTCAATAATTGGGACTGCACTCAAATATGACGTCAAAAATTCCCTCTTCAGTGAAGTTTCTTTTTCGCAAGATGTCACCAACAGACTTACCTTAACGGATGGCTTTACTTGCCGACAAGACGATGAGTTCACCGACTAAACCGACCGGCTTGTTACAATTTACGGACGTGGCTACTGCCAACCACGGACCTTCATGGGACTTTGGCTGCAACTGATGGTCCACGCGTTGCTACAAGGCGCAACAGTCCACCAGATGTCCACACTGTAAGGCACCACAGTCCACCAGATGTCCACACCGTAAGGCGCAACAGTCCACCTGATGTCCACACTGTAAGGCGCCTCAGTCCACCTGACGTCCACACTGTAAGGCGCCTCAGTCCATCTGACGTCCACACTATAAGGCACCACAGTCCACCTGGTGTTCACACTGTAAGGCGCAACAGTCCACCTGATATCCACACTGTAAGGCACCACAGTTTACTTTATGTCCACACTGTAAGGCGCCTCAGTCCACCACTGTAACATTGTAAAATCATGCCGTCCTCTCGCGTTGCTTCGAGCTTCAGCTGCGAGAGAACACGAGTTCAGCGATCAATTCTTCGATCAACACGAGTTCAGCGATCAATTCTTCGATCAACACGAGTTCAGCGATCAATTCTTCGCGACTTTGAAGACGTCCAAGCGCCACGCATAATTTCGAACGTATGCCTGATATGCTTGCCCCATTTGTTGTCCTATAATAAATAAGCTTGAATGTTCTGTGCATTGACTAGGGGCATGCAGAGTGACGCGGCCCATCTGTTTCTATTGGAGTTGCAATTCGTTGTTTCTATTGAAGTTGTAATTGATATGTATACAATACCTACGTAATATCATGTAAATTAGGTTTGTTAATGCTTAATCGTTTACTATGCTATAAGTGATAAAAATTGTGTACCCGTAAAAAGGCATAACGCAAATTTCTCGTCTAAAATCAGAATTTCAAACTCGCCGCAAGGAAACTTCTCCATTCGACAAGCTGTGTACGATAGCAAGCCGTCTAATTTTCTTTGATTCACACAAATAATAACCTTCAAAAGAGTCGAGTTTCCCTACATTTCGAGAGATGAATGAGTTGCTACCGATTGAATTTTACAGCTAAAAATTGTGCTCAGTCATGCATGGACTTACGACTCAGTTTGTCAAATCAGTCACTCTGGCCTGTACACTCATAGAAATAAACTATGCAGACCAGCACACAACTTTTCATTCCCTCCATTGCAGAAAAGTCCAGCAGCGATGTCCCTGACATCTGTACATTTGTTTTAGCTCGGGGAACTTCGGCGCCTGGTTATAAGCTAGAGAACTTCGGCGCCTGGTTATAAGTTAGGGAACTTCGGCGCCTGGTTATAAGTTAGGGAACTTCGGCGCCTGGTTATAAGTTGGGGATGGAAGGAGGGCTGAGGGCGTGAGAACCGAATCGGATAAACGATGTAGCCAATGCAATGATTGAAAGAATTCAAAATTCCAAGCGGTGCTTCTTCACAAGGCAGAACAAATGAAAGGATTTAAATGAAAGAACATCAAATTGTTCTAGTTTATCTGGAGCGGAAAAATAAACCTCTGAGGCATTGAATTTTCCGGGATCAAGGGCGTTAATTGTTGAAAATTCAGTTGCAATTAGGTACAAAATAATAGTTTATGTTCAACAGTTGTGTAATATTTGTTAGCATTTGTCTTCACGATGGTAAATAAGTCAAAATTTTGAGTTTTGTATTATGAGAGTTTTGAGCGATGCCAATACAAAGATAGTGAAGATACGAAGAAATTTAAGATACGAAAATAGATTACTTTTAATGCTGGCCATTTAACGATAATTACTCTTTATTTTAGCGATTTTAAGATAATTACAGACTAAATATACATATATACTGGCATACTAATAACATCTAAAATTATATCAATAAAATACTCCAAGTCCAGAGCTTTCGTGAGCGGCCATAAATGTATTGCCACGCACTCGCTATGCGTATCATGGATCAGGGGCCATACTTTAAAAAAAAAAGTGAAGAGATCGTAAGTTCATCAGCCAATCATTGACGGCCTTTCAAGCAAAATCCACCAATCATAGACAAGAAAATAGAGCGTAAGTACTTACGTTCACATAGCGAGCTTTGAAAGTATCCACCAATCATAGACAAGAAAATAGAGCGTAAGTACTTACGTTCACTTAGCGAGTTTTGAAAGTATGGGCCCAGATGTTCAGTTGTGACCAGCATGTCGGCGATTCAACATTTTGCACACAAACGTAATATTTCGCGAGTCTAGTCATCTGAAATGTTTGGCTCAGTACCAACAAAAACTTGATTAAAAAATTTAAATTAAAATTAAAATTTTTTAATTAAAATTTCATCGGTACGCAGAAAAATCACTGCTATTTTGAGCCATCTCAATATCTTTTTAAATTAATTTAACGAAGAAAATTGACAGCAAGTAAATACATTTTTCAATGATCTTGCAATGCTACGTCAAGAATCCTCCATTAGAAATAATTAACTGAACCAAAAGTGCAGAAAAATATTTAAAAGCAATCGAGAGAATTTAGACCAAGTATGAAGGCAAATGTGTTATATGAACATGTCAACATGTCAGGAAATGAAGTATGAAGGCACCTGCGTTATATGAACATGTCACCATGTCAGGAAATGAAGTATGAAGGCACCTGCGTTATATGAACATGTCAACATGTCAGGAAATCATATATCCACGAAAAATCAACAGATTGCACACAAAAATAAAAGTTAACTAAACACAGGAAGAAATTCACGGCAAATCCACAAATAATTAAATTGAAAGCAAGCGATGCTAAGACCCTTCATTATTTAATTTAATAATTATTTCCCTTTAAATTAAATAAAAAAATCAAGTTCTAATAGGTAGAAGGCAATGCATCAATCCCCCTATTCCTATTCCAGCGTTGATTCAAGTGTAAAAGTACCTGAGGAACATCATACTTCTATTATCTAACTTTATGTACATTCTGCTAGAACATTTTCTTACAATTATCTCAATAAGAGAAAAACAAGGCAGGTTCTTAAAAAAATATAACTCAGTACTCACTGCAGTGAGTGACAGAGAGCGCATTTTCTCGTCGACGGAAACTTGAGGTCACGGACGGACAGACGGACAGACGGACGGACGGACGGACAGACAGACGGACGAACAGACAGACGGACATGGCGAGCACAATAGTGTTTTTTTCCATAAATGAGAAAATGCGCTAAAAAAATACGTAAAAACTACATCCAAGTGCAGCGGTTCGCTGACGAAGGATTGCACTTATTAATTATTAGGACTGTCATATTTGGAAGACCACAAGACGAAGGCACCACATTACTTTAATGTCTTCATAAATAACGCTAGCAACGTAAACGTTTACTACATTCAGTTTTATTTGAACCAACGTAACAATTATGCTGGATTTCTTAGTCCTTGTAACACATCTCCTCTAACAACGTCAACTTTCAGTGTACAGTAAAAAGAGTTTCTACATCATACACCCACAGTGAAAAAAAAAGCTTTTACATTATAATACAGAGCAAGTGACTCTACATTATCAAAGAGCACAGCATCAAATAAAAAGATAACGAGGAGAAACGTACGCAAGATGAAGATAAACAAGTAATAATGTAACTTAGATTGCTTGAATCTCACTAGAAATTTAAAAGCGAAGAAAACTCCACAAAAATGCAGCGTTTCTCTATTGAAAACGTTTCGGAGACCAGCTCCATCGTCAGTTCGATAAATCTACAACACGAATACAGTCAAAAAAATACAGTTACCGTGGTATTTTCGGACTGTAGTACAGTATCTGTGTTCTAGATTTATCGAGCTGACGATGGAGCTGGTCTCCGAAACGTTTTCAATAGAGAAACGCTGAATTTTTTTTTGAGTTTTCTTCGCTTTTAATTTTTCAGAAGATAAACAAAGATAGCAGAGTACTCGTTAACTGGGATCTTGCGTGACATAAACTGAGAATCCTGCCACCATCACAAGCCTGGTAACTGATCCTGCTTCACTATTACTTAATCCAGCTTCAGGGTATTATCGCTGATGGTGATGATCGCTACCATCACATATCGCCATCATAACACATCACAGATCACCATCATCATCAGAGCACATCACACATCACTATCATCACTATCATCATCATCCTTGAGAAATTGAACTACCCTTGAGAAATTGAACTACCGTTGGTCGGCTCACTCGTAATTGAGCCGTCTCTCTGAACGGGCGGGGCTGGACGCGGCTGTCGTGTCTGTCTAGACAGGCCTTTGGATTCCCCTCCGACGCTGCAGTCCGCTAGTTATCTTCTCGCCTAAATCAGTATTTCTCTTACCCTGGTCGTCTAACTTGGCCGGATAAGTCATCCGAATACGGCAGACCCAGAGGACCAGCGTGGTCTTGCCACCAGCTCTGCTTTCCGCCGGGACCATCGTTCATGCAAGTTGAATGACTATGAATTTTGACCAGCGATGTGAAAATTTTCAGCACCACTCACCACCCCCACACACCACTCACCCCTCACACCACTCACCACCCCCACACACCACTCACCCCTCACACCACTCACCCCTCACACCACTCACCCCTCACACCACTCACCCCTCACACCACTCACTATTCTTGTACTCCGGAGCGCCGGCAGAGTGGCAGGCGGCGCCGACGCTGGCCATGAGGTTAGGGCAGACCTGCAGCAGCGCCTGCGCCGTCACCTGCGCAGGAGCGGCGAGTGAGCGGCGATCAGGGCCAGCGTAGCGCGGTAAATGGTGCAGCGGAAATAATTATGGTAATGGTGAGGGGGATAGTGATAAATGATAGACGATTCGTTAAAAAATGTATAGATAATGTGCTGGAAATTGAGAGAGGAAGCAAGAATCTAAAAGGAAATAAACGCTAAGTGATTTCACCCTATCATGAATGAAAACGTTTCACAGAAAAGCTCCATCATTAGTTAAAGTAACAATTTAGATAAAAAGAACCTTCAAAAACTTTTTCAATGAAGGTATAGGAAATTTGCTTGAAGTTATGTTGGCTTTTAAATTTTTAGCGAACTTGCGATTTAGCAAAGTTTTGAAAGCGCTCGATAGAGGAACAATCGTGATTGAAATGATTGCACAATTGCTGGTACCAGAGGGGAAGATTGCGCAATAAACAGAGTGGAACGGGTTTTGGACTAATAATTTTAATGACCCAACGGTGGGTAGCAGGGTCTTTTTTCCGGACAAATTGCGCGATTTAGTTTTTTCGATTGCGTTTGTCGACAAAAATTTATGATGAAAGTACTACTTCATTAAATTTTAATAAGTACTGAAAAAATATAAAATTTAATCTTTGCACCTGAACCTATCAATTTACTAATTTATTTTGAATTATATGCCTTTTCATCCGCGGCCCGTACTTAAATAAGAGGAGCAAATGAAGTGTAGGCACCTGTGGGTAGTTGAATGTTGAATGAAGACGACAATTAACAAACAAATAAGAGGAAGAAATTAAGTGTAACGACAATTAACAAAGAAATAAGAGGAAGAAATGAAGTGTAACGACAATTAACAAAGAAATAAGAGGAAGAAATGAAGTGTAACGACAATTAACAAATAAATAAGAGGAAGAAATGCAGTGTAGGCACCTGTGGGTAGTTGAATGTTGAATAAAGACGACATATGGGCAGGATTAACAAACAAATAAGAGGAAGAAATGAAGTGTAACGACAATTAACAAAGAAATAATAGGAGCAAATAAAGTTTAGGCACCTGTGGGTAGTTGAAAGTGACGCTGGTGGTGTTGGGGATGCGGGGGAAGACGAGTATGGGGCCGGCGCCCCCCAGGGAGAGGTGGGCTGACACGCACGCGTCGGGGTCATCGGGTACACAGGGCTCCAGGCAGTTCAGCTTCAGGTCTCGCCCGAACTTTGCCTGTAGCAGGCGAGAGTGTCAGCTGTGACAGGCGAGAGTGTCAGCTGTGGCAGGCGAGTGTCAGCAGTGACAGGCGAGAGTGTCAGCTGTGACAGGCGAGAGTATCAGCTGTGGCAGGCGAGAGTGTCAGCTGTGACAGGCGAGAGTGTCAGCTGTGACAG